ATGAACAGTTTGATTAAAAAAATAGAGTGTAAGTTTTTATTTTGTTTGAGATTCTTATTGGTAAAAACACTGCTTGTGCATGCTGATATTTGGATGCTTTCGAACAACAAATAAACGATGAAATATATTTTTTCGTTAAGGACAACTATTGTACCGCAATGTTTCTTTGTTTTCTAATTTGTTGTATTTTATAACACGCAATGTCAGTGGTAAGCATTGACCAATAGTTTGCAACTCAATGAATACGATTTTGATCATTTTAGAATGAAAAGCCAAAACTGAGCCTGATCGAGAATTTTGTACTCAGTTCTGGGGCCGCTGGTATTAGCTTTGTCGTCTCGGCTCCCTTCGACCGTGTGAAATTGCTCATACAATGTCAGGGTGAAATGGTAAAACAAGGCACTCTCACTCGTCCATACCCTGGTATTATCAACTGTGTGACACAGACATTCAGAAATGAAGGTTTATTATCATTTTGGCGCGGCAACTTGGCTTGTTGCATTAGGTTCTTTCCCAATCAGGTTTGTTGGAAGTATATTTCTCAACAATTGTGTCTGACGTGTGCTCGTGTTTTTAGGCGTTGAACTTTCTGTTTAAAGATACAATCAAAGCCACGTTTAAATCAAACAAAAACGACCCATACATGGTGAACTTCGCGAAAAACGTTACTAGTGGTGGTATCGCTGGTACGTTAAGCTTGTGTTTTTGTTACTCACTCGACTACGGTCGAACACGTTTGGCTAATGACGTGAAAAGCGCCAAGAATGGTGACAGTGGACGTAAATATAACGGTCTTATCGATGTCTACAAGAAAACCTTAGCTACCGATGGTATTGTTGGTCTTTATCGTGGTTTTGTTATTTCCTGCGTGGGTATCTTTATCTACCGTGGTTGTTACTTCGGTCTGTATGATACGTTGAAACCCATCTTAGTTGGTCCCGATGCCGGTATCAGGTATTTGTTCTTGCTTGGTTATGGTGTCACAATCACATCTGGTCTAATCACACATCCAATCGACACTATTCGACGACGTATGATGATGACGTCGGGTGAGGCTGTGAAATACAAGGGAGCAACGGACTGCATGTTCCAAGTCATCCGTAATGAGGGTATCATCGGATTGTACAGAGCTGCCGGTTTAAAAATTCTAACAGGTATCGTTGGTGCCGGTATGTTGGCTGGTTTCGACAAGCTGGTGCAAGTCTACACAAATGTCAAAGTTGATACCAGTGGTGGTGGTTAAGAAGACTTCTATACCATCTTTTTTTTATCCATTCACATCCGCACTCTATTTTTCGAGCATAATAAAACCGTAAAGTTCTATCTTCAATTACTCTTGAAGGTGAAATGAGGGTTGAGTCAAATAAATCAAAGAGATCACAAATACAGCACACAACTGAAACATTTCTGATTAATATCTATGCCTTTTATACGTATATATTTTGTCAAGGTCTCACTGTTCCGACGATTGGCGATTAGCTTTGTAGTAGAGATAGTCGACTACATAGATGACTTTTATCTTCATTTGGACAAATTATGATACTCTTTGACAATGTTCGTCAGATGCATGAGGTCAACGGATATGCTAAACATTTTCGACGGATTCCAGTTACCATCTATATATGGATGCATTGCAAAATTATTGTACCGTTCTGTGAAAAAAATGGACGAAAAAAAATTTTCGATTTTGAACACTGTGATTAGCGCATTCTATAGTACTATATCAGAAGAGAATATGGATCAATTTTCCCGACTACCACTATCAAATTGGCTGAGATACCAGAGTTTTTTAAAAAATACTGTTTAAATTCAACGCCTAATGGCATTGTTAGTACACGCTGTAGTCGAACTGTCCTGCAGTATTTTAGACTTTAATGTTGAGGATTTTCTTTGGAATGAGAAACCATGTGTAGTCTGGAGAAATGGCAATCGAAACAGCATAATTCACTCTAAGTTATATGTAGTTATTATACTTATACTACAATAAATAGAGAATGTATATATTTAGTGGCCTTTTCTGTGAATTTATTAACCTGTGACATACAAGCTAGGATTCATTGATATGACTGTGAATAGCTCTTTAAATATACAAGTGGAGTGATATATTATGTATCTACTTTGGCTTTAGTTATGAGGTAGTTATATCCATAATAATCTCGCATGACATTTTTGCACTATTTTTCATCGTTTGTACGAAAGACAAACTTCCTGGTCCTGATATTTCAACCAATTGTTAGCCACAATGAGTGGATAAAATGGTCAAAATTTCGTCGCAATCTGCCATAGTTTAAGAAACTTATGAGCCAAACAAATTGAAAAATCTCGCGTGACACTTTGTGTGACAACTGAATTTTCAAATTTCATTTTATATTTTTTCTCAACAAGAAGTGGGACAATTCTCTCATCGTCTTTAGTGGTTTTATATAACACCAACTACCTTTCATTTGACACAAATCCGATAAATTTCAGACGGGCCATTGCGTAGCAAAATGAATTTTAATCTCGCGTGACAGAAAATTGAGAGTTGTCTGTACACATGGTATTTCGAAAAAATTGTAATAAAAACTATGTCAAAACAACCAATGAGTTTTATATCTGAGAAGTGTAGACTATATATTATAAATATCATGAATTGTCAAAATTCAAATAACAAGTAACGAACTGGGTATACGACCTTTTGTCAAAAAGACGGCAGCGGAAATCGAACTTTTGAGCCTTGTCCAGCCAATATTTCAGGACTTATTCAAGGTAATCTTGTGATTTTTTGTACGGTAGTGAGGAGTTCTTAGTAGAATCTATGGTAAAAAAATTATAAGGATTACTTGAGTAGAACTGGAGATATTAGGATTTTACCTTCAAGAATACAATGGTACAATAGTTTTGCAATTCATCCATATACATATGTATATAGGTGATACATCAAACGAGTACCATGTCTTCATAAAAAGATGTATCGTCTTATGTTGTATAACGCATGTCTCAAGAAACTGCTGCATTAGAAGAAAAAAAACACTATCAGATTCGAACAATTACCGAATGAAGTTTTACTTGATATATTCATTTGTATCGATGGTATTCATCTTCTTTGTGCATTTTATGATCTCAATAGCCGATGTGATCATCTTCTCTATAAGCAATTTCGAGCATATCGTTTCAACGTTCCTTCTTACTCGAAATCCCAATTCGACATGATATGCCATGAACATCTCCCGTTCATTACTAATCGAGTTACTTATTTGACTCTTTCAAACTGGCCAGAAACTCCCGGACAAATCAAACGTTTCTTTACTTATATACCATGAGTCTCTCAATTCAAACATTTACGATCATTGACATTGTTTCATCTTTGTTCAGATCGGATACTAATGAATATTTTTGATCATCTTCATCATCTTCGTGATCTTACTCGTTTAGACTTGAATGGAATTCATTGCACCGATGATCAAGGAGATTTTCAAGCAGTTATCAACAATATTTGGAGTCTATCAAAACTTATTTTATTGTCACATTTATTTTCACTTTAACAGCAAAAGGATTTTCTACCCACTAACGAAACTCTCCACATCGCTCAAAAATCTATCTATATCTGACTTTATACTAAAATGCAATGAACTCAATCAATTATTTGAAAACATCTCTGCTCTCAAATGTCTGTCAGTAAATGTGAAATCGAGTGATATCAGTGATTGTAATCCATTTCTTTGTTCGACGCTAATCGATTTGACAATTTGTATGTCTTTTATTAATGGCATATCGACATTAGCTTTTTTCTTCCGAAATCTACCTAATTTGCGTTATTTAAGGGGACCCCCCTTTCCTAGGCCAAAAATTTTTTTTTTATAAAAGTGTTCAAGGTCCCCTCTAGATGCGTTATAAATATCAGAATCATCCAAGGTCGGGAAGTTACTGAAAAACCAGGTTCCTTGGAGACATATGTGCCAAAAAAATTTTCTTTTAAATATAAAGTTATATTATGATGTAGTATATCTGTACTATAAAAGTCAGAACCATCCAAAGCCGGGAAGTCTCTGAAAAACCAAGGTTTTTGGAGACATATGTGACAAAAAACTTTTTTTTAAATTTTATATGATTTTATTTCTAAAGATGTTTTATCTTATTTTCTTCTCCTATTGTAATAGTTGTTACCATTTCGACTCATAGAATCCCAGAAAAGTCAAATTGCGGCACTGTATGTCATCCATAAAGCTCTTGTCTCAAGTGACATCTTTTTTCAAATATTTAGTTTTCGAGGTTATTGGTCGATTGTCCTATTATTATTGACCATACTTGATTTATCTATTAGTCTCTTCGTGACGAATACAATAGAGAATTATCATCATGAGTCATAATCGAGTTGAATAAAAAAATATCTCTTTGTTTATATTTCTTTTATTTTTTCTTGTTTGATGCAATACAAATAAATGAAAACACATAGCATCATTTACTTCATATGCTTTGTCCATTTAACAAAATCATCAATAGACACATCAACTACGCTTTTGAGAGGTTTATCTTTGTCAGGATCGTTTGGAAACCGAAGACGCATTAGTTGAAGTATGAGTGGTGGTAGTATATGTTTTTTTTTCTTGGATTTTTTGGACAAAATAGTATTTATCTCATTTACAAATGCTTCATGTCGTTTAACATCAGTTACTACAACAGTATCTGTAGTAAGACGATGTCGAGCTGAAATATCATCGAAGTTTTTTTCAAATAAAATATGATAAATAGATGAAGGCATAGTAACATTTGCATCTGGATAGCAACTTTCAAGAAGTGTTTTGATTGCTTCTAATTGTGCATCTCGTAATGGTCGACCATCACTAAATAATAATTATATTTTAGATGGGTAAAAAATATATTTCTAAACGATTGCAAAACCGGAATGTTCGATTGGAACGTCCACTGTTGAAGACGAAGATGAACCACCTTTCGTTGATGATGAATCTGAATCACATGATATTCCATACAATAGTGTAAATATTATCGTCAATATCGGCATGATACTCAATTTGGTTAATAAATTCCGTTGTCCTTCGTATAATAGTGTTGGTAAAATGTCTCAAAAAGTTACTCAACGTCGCGGTCTCCTATACCATATCACGTTTTCATGTACTTGTTCATTTGAAACATCTTTTACAAATTCAATACAATTGGTTCATTCAGCTACTGCACCCATGGATGAACTCAACATGATGGCATGTGTAGCAGCTAATGTTGCTGGAATCAAACGAACAAGCATGACTACAATTTTAGGCATGTTGAACATTTTACCACCAGTTCAAATTGAAAACTGGCAGAAATATCAGAAAATATATTCAAATGCTTTGGATGCTGTGAAAGATGAAAGTCTTGGAGGAGCTGGTAAAATTCATTTTTTTTTTATTTATTTATCATATGCTATTTTCGTATAATTATATTTGTAGCTGAAGAAGCAGCAGAACAATCATCTGAAACTGCTGATCGTGAAGGAGTTACAAATATCAAAGTTTTAATTGATGGTACATGATTAACTCGTCGCGGTCACTCCAGTTTACATGGAGTGGCAACCGTGTGTTCAACATCGGATCCTCCAAAAGTTTTAGACTTCGAATGTCTAACGAGGGAACTTCCCCAGGTGTTTAAGCCCTTTAGGTCCCATCTTTT